AATGCAGGTGAACAAATTGAACTTAAAAAAATAAGCTTTTAACTCAGTGCATAAAATTGTCGTACCCCCTGAAATTCCATCTCATGCCCCCTGGAGGTGCAGGTACCCCAGGTTGGGAAACCCTGCCTTAGTAGAATGTAGGATAAGAACCTTCTGGCCTGACAGTTGAGCAGAGCTGTTAACCTTCTAACTGTAAAAGTCTCTTGTTTCTCAGCAACATCCATTTTTTCATCCAGACCAAACAACAAGCGAAATACAATTTCAAATCCGGTAAACTCATTTCTCCTCTTACCTTTGCATCTTGTAACCCTTTATATTTAACTTGTGGTTTTTTACCTCACCATATAAATTTAGATTTTTTTTTGCCATTGTTTAAATGGTAAATCAGTTGTCAAAACAGGTACTGATTGGAACAAAAACATAATTCTTGGCATAACGTTCATTTTTGTCACAGAGATTCTCACCAACAATAACAATTTTAATTTCTCCCATCTTAACATGTCCTTCTCAATTTCATTTCATGTCTTAACATAATTATTTTGAAATAACATACAATTGGTATTTGTCATAGTAATACTCAAATATTTCACTTTTTTCTCAATCTTAAAACCAGTTTTCTCCATCAGTTCTATTTGATCTTCTAATTTCATATTTTTGTTAACATCTTTGTCTTCTGATTAATAATCTTAAAACCTGCTAACATACCAAAGTTCTTTAATTTTCCCATTAATGTTTCTTCTCCCTCTAGTGGATCTTATAAAATTAACTCCAAATCATCTGCAAATGCCCTTAACTTATAAGTTTATTTTTAATCTGAACTCCTATAATTCTCTCATCTTGTCTTATGTCTCTGTTCAATACCTCAAGCACCTTCTTTTTCAATCCTGCTGCAATAAATTCCTCTCCCAAATTTTTATGACTTAAGTATTTAACATCTTTTTCCCTAATATTTCCTAATATGTGTTTCTTAGGTAATTCACATCTTGTTTTAACTTTCTCAAATAATGAAATTTTCTCTCTCTCTTTTGAGGGGCATTTGCTCCATTTATATTCCATGTTAAGCATTTATAATCTATATTTAGGTTAAGATTTTGGGGAAGTCAATACCTGTAGCACCCAACGTGAAGTCTTTTTCTATGTGTTGTGTCCGTTATGGCACTTGTTTAGTCTCATCTATCATTGTCACTTCCCTTTGTGTTTCCTCCAATTCTTCTTTAATTTATACATTTAATTTTTTTCAGAAAAATTTCTTGCTTTCTGTACTGTAAGCAGAATTCTTTTTCTCTCAGTTCTAATAATGCCAAATTGTCCAAAGCCTTCTCCATCTCTCTGTTTATAACTTCTGTCTTACTTTCAAAAACTTCCACTTAGTTAGTAATTTGTTTTAAGTCTGCAGCCAGTTACCCTACAGATACTTCAATTTTCTTAACTACTTCTTTCAGATTTTTTTTTATCTCTGCAAATCCTTCCATTTCCTTTTTAACTGTTGCAGTCATCTTTTTGCCAAATTCTTCAAACATTTTCTGCAATACATCTTGTGAAATGTCCTTATCTGTAATTTGTTCTAGTGAACCCCTGCGTCCTTCTCCCAATTTGGCAGCTTTCCTTGTGGTTGCCATGGTGAAAAAGTGAAAGCGTGTCAATTACTATGGTGAAAATAAAAGGCAGACTTCTTTTTTCTTTTCTGTTTTACTTCTATCTTTAACACTTTAGTCCCAATTAGCTCTCTGTAGTTACAGTCTCACAACTTAGCTCATATTTTCTTATCTTCTTGTTTTGTAAAATCTACCAATTACTGCTGTCCTTAAAAATAAATAATCAACATTCCCATGAATGTCCAGTCTGAAAATTTTACTATTTTCAACAGCACTTTCTTCTGCTTTTATATTTCTTCTGCTTTTAAAATCACTATCCCCTTCGTCTATTTAAAACTTTCTTAGATCACAATCTTGTTAAGCTTTTTGCTTTTAATTTAAAAGCAAAAAAAGAAGGCACTCACTGAGAGTCTTTAATCTTCACTGCTGTTTGGAATATCTCTCTTAGACTGTAAAATAATTAAATTGTAAACAATTAAAAAGGTGAGGCTTTTGACAATCAAATGTCCCTGAAGGCTGCACAGCAGTTTAGGGCACGTTGTAAATCCCTTGACTTCCAAGCTGCTCAACCTACAATGAACCACAAGAAACTAAATTCCTGCAGTCTTCTTGTGAGGAGCAGCTCTTCCAGATCACGTGGGTAATCCCCCAATTTCTTCTTCCTCCGGAGAAATTTCCGTCAACCAAAACTGTCTTCTGGCTGGCGATTCCACCACTGTGCTGTCTCTGCTTGCAGAGCCGCTCACAGAGATGTTTAACTGGCCATAACATCTCCCCTGGAAGCCTTGGCAGTTGCTCTTCTATATGTAAAAGAGACACAGTAGAGGACCTCAAACATTTGAACTTCCTTTTCAGCAGAATACTAAAATGCTTACTGAAAAATGATTCATACTGAACTCTTAACTTGGATGATTGCAACTTGTTCACCTCTGTATGCTCCATTGGACTTTGGTTTTACGAGATTAATTTTGATGCTGTTTTAACTGGATATATATGGCATGTTGGCACTTAAATTATTTAGTTGGACTATTGTACATTAAAATTTGGTTTAATTTAACTTTTTTATGGTTTTGTTCCTCTATGTTGATGTTTCCCAACCTTCAGATGTTTGGACCTCTGTTCCCAGAATTCCTCAGCCAACCTGGCCATTGGTGAGAATTCTGGGAAGTAAAATCTACCCATCTGGAAGCTGCCACAGTTGGGAAACACTGTTCTGTGCAATGATCTCTGAATCTTCTATATTCGTATTCTTGCTGTTTAGAAGCTGATCTAATTAGGAAAGTGTGTGTGTATGTGTGGGTGTGTGTGTCCTCTGTCTCTGTCTTGTGTGCTGGGGCCAATGCAGTAATGCTCTCCTGCTACCTAATTTGCAGATTGTTGATGTTAGCAAAAATATAATAAGCATGCAGGGCTGTTACAAAGTTGCTTTGTTCCAACAGTCAATAGATTGCTTAAATAAAGCTTTTCTCAATGCTTCAGAATGATAATGTCTGCATTATTTTGATCCTTCTTGTGTTGATGTATCTGTCTTGCCCTTTCTAGGCTTGCACACTGGCTCGGCGAAATGCTGATGTGTTCCTGAAATACCTGCACAGAAATAGTGTAAATATGCCAGGGATGGTGACTCACATCAAGGCTCCGGAACAGCAGGTCAAAAGTGAGTATGGGTGTTTTGTCATAGGTTGATTTTAATATGTTCAGCAGTTTGTTTGAGAAAGCCTCAATGATAAGATTTTCTCTTAGTGTGATAAACAAAAGCACAGAAAGTGATTCTGGCGTATCTCTGTTGTTGGTGAGTCTGTTGCTCTTTCTTACATCCAAAGCTATTCTAAGGGGAAGAGAAAACTCATGGGCATAGTTGACCCTGTGGAAATGATGGAAGAATACATCTTGCGTATAACAAAATATATTAGATGGGATGTGTAATTAAAAACAAATAATACTAGCAAACATTATGAATGCTTATTGTTATATGGGTTTAAAATATACATTTGCACATGATTTGTCCTCTAATAATTTCTCACCTGGCAGATATCCTGAATGAACTTTTCCAGAGAGAAAATCGTGTCCTACACTACTGGACAATGAGAAAACGACGCCTTGACCAATGTCAGCAATATGTAGTCTTTGAAAGAAGTGCTAAACAGGTCAGAGTCTGTCCTTTAAATAATCTGTTTATATAGTTTAGTTGGGATGTTCATATCTTCTTATAACTCTTCCCCCAGCTGTCATCCAAGAAATGAACAATAAAACATCATGTCACTAGAATTCTTCCAATGTGTCCTTCCTCACCCTCACCCCCTAGATCCTTGAAGAGCAAAACTAAAAGTCTAGGGAATACCTACTAGCATTTTGTGCAGCACATGAGAAGAACATGAACAGAAAATCAGTGGATTCCCTTCCACTCCATATATTCATAGAGATGTTAGACATGCATACACAGACCAACTTTTTATTGATGTATGTATGTATATGGATGTATATCTCCTTCATAAAAATGCAGGATTGTTTACTTCTGTCTGTCTATTGAAAAAATAGATAACTTTTAACAATTTAAGGTCAGCCAGTTTGGTGTAGGCATCAGACTAGAAACTGGGAGACCATGAGTTCTAATCCCATCTTAGACATGAAGTCACCTGGGTGACCTTAGGCCAGTCATGCTCCCTCAGCCATAGGAAGGAGACAATAACAAGCCACTTCTGAAATCTTGCTGAGAAAACTGCAAGGACTTGTCCAAGCAGTCACCAGGAGTCAACACTGACTTGAAGGGACCAAAACAAAACAAAATAAGAGAATGGGGGAAAAGGATGGAGTGACCAGTGCTTCAAACAAAGATAGTAATTTTCTCATTCATTAAGAGCTGTAGCATTGAGATGGTAGTGGTACTTCCTTCTGGTCTCTTGAGACTAGGCCAAACTGCAGAATTCTTTTGGGATAATAGTGAAAGAGATATGTTAGAAGAAGGAAAAAGAATGGGGAGAATATGTATTGGAGCCAAGAAAGTGAGTCATCAGTCAGCTAGGTGGGACATTGTTCTGTTTATTGAGAATGTGTCAACTAATGAATAATGGTTGATTTCAGTGACTGCTTTTTTCTCAAAACTGAAATGTAGTCATTTTTTAAGTGATATCTTTTTTAAATGAAGACTAAGATAGACTTTGTAAAGGAAACTGTTGAAAAGATAGCTTAGTCCTAACTGGTTGGGGAAATACATAATACTTCAGTAATACTATATATAAATATAGATATAGATATTCCAGAGCTGCATACTGAAAAAAATGTAGAATGCCAGTTTTGAAAGGGCTCACTGAATACGTTGTAGAGGTCAGTAGCCCCTTAGCTGCAACTCATTTCTGTTAGAAGTTGGTACCAGTAATGAAACCATAATACAATATATTTGTAACCAGACAATTCTAATGGAGCTGAATGGACTCATTCCAGTTCTGTTAGTAAGGAGGACATTCTTTTAAACATTTGCAGTCTAAAAAAGCAAGCATGAGTAGCATAAAATATTTGGAAGAAATAAAGGGAAATCTTTTCCAAGCTACAGCAGTTGAGGAATACGAGTTCTCATCATACGAGAGGGAGGGAGGG